TGAAAATACTATCAACAGAGACATTAACTCTTATATTTCATTTTATTGTAAAGGTTCTTTACAGAGGGGTTACAGTTACATAATGAAGGAAATGAGTACATTTCTTTTTGAATAGCGTTAACCCTCACTCATTTTCTCCTATTCCCTGTGCCCATTCTCCCATCCTCCCCAAGTTGTAAAGTTCATTTCCAACATAGTGTATAGTGAGTGTCACTGTTGGATTGATTCATCCTTTGTTCCACCATTTCTGTGATACCCCTTCCCTTCCCCAACTCAGACAAAGGGTACAGAAATCCAAAACAGTGACAACAGGGAATAAACCAAAGGCAGGTGGGGGAAGGGAAGAAGAGAAAGAAAAATGAAATAACTGGAAACAGTTCACTAAAAACAAAAGGAAACAAAACTTCTTGTTTCCATTTCTTGAAGTTCATTTTGATAAACATCATTTTATATATCCATACACACATAGCTATTGAGCTATTGTGATCCTCTGCTAAGAGTATCATAGACATGTTCTAGTTATTACAAATGAGGGAAAGAAACTATGCAGCCTATGTTTCTTTGGGTCTGGGGAACACTGTAAGATTGCTACTGACACTCTCATCTTACCATGTAAATATGCTTGAAGCTTAGGTCTAGGAATTGTCTTCTCTACCTGACCTGTGAACTCAAAGAATGAACTTCTGTTGTATTCTAGCCATTAACCCTTATTCCTCTTTCTTTTTTTGCATTAATTACACTCTAGTTCATTTTTAAATTTATTTGAATTTAGCTAGCTTGATTTATAGGTGCTTTGTCTAAGTTGCACCCTCTTGTCTCTTAGTAGTATTTTTCTGATAGTTTTGATTGCAATTTTCCAGGTGTGCTATGTTCCCTTAAGAGTTTAAATGAGTGTTTTCATCCATCAACAAAAAGCCAGATGATCTCATTGTTATTAAAAGGAGAAAGCAAGAGCCTGATTTCATGACTTAGTTCCACATCGAGAGTAAAGGCAAGCCAGACACTGTGACAACGGAAGGTGATGGTGATGTTGGAGTTTTGGTCAATGGTCTATAAAGGACAAGCTGATTGCATTGGTCCACTATCTGCCACTATTATAAAATATCCAATATATGTGTGTATACATATAAAGAAAGATGTGTTTAGCTCATTGTTTTGGAGACTTAAAGGCGTGGTAGCTGCCTCTGCTCAGCTCGAATAAGATTCCCTTTTGTCCAAGTACATCATGCCAGAGAAGTAAGAAGGAAAATACATGGTGAAAAGGCCAAGCATAGCAAGTGGACATGACCTACATCAATAAACTCTCAAGACAGCTATCCAGAATCTCATAAAACTATGTTAAGTGCTTTAGTGGGCAGATTCCCCTTGACTTGATTAACTTCCATGAGACTCTTTATCTCTTAAATATTCCATCACATGATATTCAGGGGGCCAAGATTCCAGCACATGAAACTTTGGGCGACACACTCAAACTGTATCCAAACCTGAAAAATAACCAAAGCAAAACATGGGCTGTAGATACAGCTCAAATGGTGGAGCATTTGCCTAGCAAGTAGAAGAATCTGATTTCGAAATATGTAAGTTAATTAAAGTTAATATTAAAAAAGAAACACATAAATATATTAAGATACTGAAGTATGGATGTCAGGTCTGGCCAGTGCCATAGTGGCCACAGGGTGGATGGTAGGGTCTCACATCTTTTCTTCATGATGGGGGAAGGTGAAGGCCCTGCCTCTGAGGTGATGGGTGAACCTGAATCCCTGGAAGCAGGGGCAGGCACTTGGTTGATAGCTTACTAACCTGTCAGTCCAGTGCCTGGGACTAGGAATTTTCTGTGACACTGCCCCCTGCCCTGACCCTATTCAGGCCTAGAGGACCAGATGGGCACCATTACATCATGCCACCTGTCTCCATGTTTGTGTCCTGACTCTGTCTCCTGGTTCTTCTCTGGTCATGATGGTGTCCCACTTCAGCTCCCCATTGAAGCTGAATTGGTTTGTTGGTTTGTTCTTGTTCTTTCTTTCCTCTCTGGCCATCATGGCCCCTGTTTCCTAACTCTGTTAAGTTTATTTGTTGACTGTAGGCCTTTGTAACAATTGGCTGCCTGTAGACTACTAGTGCTGCAATAGACTCCAAGATTCAACCTCTCAAAATGTAGCTTCTCAGTACATGTGCAATAATAGTATGTGTGCAAATAAAGGAGGTTTATTCATAAAGGAGTTAAAGAGTTAGACTGAAGTTTATAAACATTTGAATTCACCACAAGGGGGGAAATTGCCATTTCATTTTCATTTTTAGCTTGATTAAGAAGAATCTTGTTGGTATCACCCAGTGAGGAAGATTGTTTTAGATACAAAGAGATATGGTAGAAAAGAAAATGCCTTGTTTGGGAGAAACTAACTATGGATAATTACTCGAGATACTATGAATATCAACACATATTTCTCCATTCATACCCATTTCTAATATCCCAAAGAAAGAATTTAAATGTGAATGGCATTTGTGTGACATCATTTTAGTAAGTTACTCCCTTTTATTCTGCTTAAAAGAGCAAATTTCTTTGGTATTGAAGGGTGCATGCATTTAGTTCTGGAAAATCCAGTGAGGTACATAGGGATGTATTGTTTGAAAGTTTCAACCTTGCCTTAAATACTCCCTTCCCTTTGTTCTAAGAAATCATGAGCTGACGTTGAGAGCAAAAGCTGCAGCACGTCCTTTATGTGGAGGGATTTTTGACATCCCTAGTACTAAATGGGAATAGCAATTCCAAAAATGTGCAGTATGCTGTATCTGTTGCTATGGTTGGTTTATACAGTTCACATTTCAGAAAAAATGAAATTATCAATTTTGCTTGCTGTTTTTTTCAAAATAACCTGTTTATATAAATTGAGGTTGTATATAAAATATTTTCTTTACAAAATGGAATTTGAAAGGACACAGCTGTTTTTGCTAGATGCTTTCCACTTTACTTCTCTGTAATATATTTAAATTGCATGATAAACTTTAGGTTGGAGGAAGAAATGCAAGCTAAACTTGTTTGTTCTCAGGATCTAAATTTACTTGTCTTAGTAATGTATCACATGCCAATAGATTGCAATACAAGAAGATTATAAACTGACGGTTAGATGTTAATAATGGTAACACAAAACATTAAGGCAAGTGACATTTACATAAGTATCTTGATCTTAATACATGTAATTTACATATGAAAATTTAATCACTATAGAGATAAACAGCTGCAATGTTTAATTAAACTCTCCACACAAAATCAGCCTGCAAGAAGTAGTTTGTCACTGCTAATTCATCACAATTCTCTTAAGTATTCTTTAAAATAAAAATGCAAAATAAATGACTCTTATTGATAATTTAACTTCTGCTTACTTTGTATTTTAATTGTATCATCAAAGCCTGTTGAGAATACGATAAAGATTCTAGGTTCATTTTCATTCTGATTAGAAGGCAAACATAAATATACAGAAAATAAATGTATTTGTTTATAAACTTAAAAGGGTCACCAGCAAAACAGCACAAATGATAGTTTAAGGAATTTTAATGCTGAACTAAGGGTAATGAAGAGATGTGACTATTCTTCTCAATGGGGCTCTTAAAGAATGTATTACAGACAAATTTATGCCGACATTAACAGGAAAAAAAGGAAAAAAAACCCCTGCTGTGTTAGAATAAATACAATTTAAAAATCCTAACTGGATTTTGTGAGTAAGAAAACAAGAACAGAAGAGATAGGTTAATGTATAAACTGTGTAAAAACATCTTTAGATTAGAAGATATTTTAAAAGGCAAATTTTAATACTGTGCATCTTATTTCTATAAGCAAATGTGTTTATTTGTTCATTCATTAAAAGATAAATGCATATTGTGCATTAAGGATAATGGCTTACATTAGGTAGAAGGTGACCTCGTCAGATATATTAACTTTCACTATGACATTCATTTTATACTCATAGTAAAGCGAAGGATTTCAAGTATTTAGGACAATGTTTGAAAACTCCATTTTTTTTTGCATGTAAGTTCAGATGGTTAAATGTGAATATAATTAAAATTCACATCATTCATGCAAATAAAGATAATACTGAACAGGACTTGGAAAAGGGATAATTTATTTCCTAAATACATGATCTAAGGTCTCTACTTCCAAGTTTCTATCACTTGACTATTCTAGAATATAAAGTTGTGATTTTAGTGATTTCATCTCATTTTAGGGGCACACTACAAAGATCCTCAATGGATGCTCAAAGTCATGGATAGTGATGAATCCTTTGCCTTACATTTTTTCTGATATATGTATAAGTTTAGGCAATGTGTTATAACACAATATCTGAGTGTGGTCTCTCTTCATGCAGGCTCAGTGCTTTCTGATACAACATATCACCTTCATCAGAGACCAGGTTTCCTGGGAGCTGGAGTAGGGAAGAAGCTCACTTGTGCAAGGCCCTGATTTTAATTCCCAGCACCACACACAAAACAAACACATTTTCTGTACATGTCTTTCACTCACAAATGTAATTTGTTTTTCCTTCTTACCTATGTACTAGTCACATACAGCGACCATAACTTTTGATGCATGAGACCCAATAGAAAAACTGGCATGCTTTTTTGTGTGTGTGCACAAATTTAGTTTTATTGTAACAAAGCAACTTGTACACTTTTAACATTTAAAACTCAGGATCATCTTTCCTTTCCAGTGAAAACAAAAGAAAATTAAAAAAAATAAATGAAGAAAATTACAATAGAGAATGTCAATTCCAAATAAGATCCTACAGGGTCTGCTGATTCTCCTGTAGTGCCAGGGCTCAAGTCATCATTAGGAAAGAATTTCATTTTACAAGTATCATCTTAAACTGCAAGGATGTCTGTTAAACATCACACTTACACATGCCAAAGGAGAAGCCATGTTGTCAAAATGCCCACTTAACCCCCCCAAACATCTCAAACCCACCCTTTGCTGACCTTCTAGAACCCTATTTTTTAAAGATTTTTTCAAACAAGAGAAAGTAGACAGATACATGTTGGCAATGCTAACTGTCCGTATTCACATAGACACAGTGTAATCTCTGAGCCCAATATACAGAGGAAGGAGGAGAAAAGCTAGAATCTATGCACTACTACACAGGGCCTGGTGCCTCCAGCAGAGCAAAGCAACCAGAGGCCTTTCTTGTTTCCCACAGAGCAGGTGGCGGTGGTGGTGGTGTTGATTCCGTACAGTTTTTGGTTGAGACAGAAAGGGATAAAAATGAATTTAGAACAGAGGTGTGTGGAGATTCTTTTCCCGTTGTATTCTGGGCAAGGTATTCCCACCCCCCCCTTGCCAAATAAGTTGAGAACCATGGTGTTTTGAGAAAAGTTTTAGACCTCAAGAACAGGGCAACTGAGCACAGAGGGGGAGAAGACAGCAACTTGCTCCCAGGGACTGGAGAAAATTAAGAAAAAAAAGTTGGAATCCATCAGTGTTTTCTATTAGTCTTCTCCTTCATCCTCCTCTCCTTCTTCCCCTTCATCATCATCTTCGTCTTCTTCCCCTTCGTCCTCATCCCCTTCTTCATCAATATCTTCCAATCCTTCCTCCTCTTCTTCATCATCATCATCCTCTTCCCCTTCTCCCTCCTCATCATCCATGTCTGGAACCAGGTAGCACTGCAATGGGTTTGGCCAGATGTCGTCTTTGATGACCTCTCCCAACTGCACAAGCGTCTGAGTGGTCAGCAAACCAAGTAGTTCCTCATGCTGCCGCTTCCTGCTGGCTTTATTCTGCGTTTGACTAGAGAGCTTTGTCAAATCCTTTCCAGACTTCCATTTGATTTCAGTGGACTTTGAAGATGGATCACCGCTCTCATTCAGATGAAATTCTTTGGAATGAACTTTATTTTTAAAATAAGGATTTTCATCAAAATAAATATCTATTCTGTAACCTGATTTTATATCTTCAAATTCTGTCACTTCAACTCTGGTCAGGTGATGCAGTGCCTCCTCCTCCTCCTCCCCAAACAGTGCAGACACTTGTGGATGGTTGACAAATGTTGTTACCCCAAAATTTGGGATTTTGGCGATCAGTTCTGACCTCTTCTGGAAAAACGGTTGGAGGAGTTTATTATATTTCTGTTCTGTTTTCAAAATCTCCTCACTGGCTTGTTCATTAAGTCTGTCTATTTCATTTTGTAGTTTATCGATATGTTCAATTGCTTCTTGCTGTTCTTTTTCTCCCTTGGGCAAGCCGGGAGAGGAGGAGGCGTCCGCCGGCTTTGGGCCTGGACTGTGCTGGAGAAGAAGCCGGAGGCGAGCTCGAAGCTGCAGACCCAAGGCAGGGAGCGAGCGGCTGGAGAGTGGCATGATTTTCTTTTCCAGTCTTCACACTTTCACAGATAAAATATGATTTGTTACCATACATCTTCACAATTTATGGTTTATTTCTCTTCTTATTAATATATTTCTGTGTAATTCTAGAAACCAAGCATATCTAAGTCAATATGCATGCACTTTGGAGTCATATTAAACAAAAATTAGTTTTAGCACAAATACTAGGATATCACAATTTTGATAAACAAGACAGCCATTATGTGATTAATGGCAGGGGAATGTATACTGTAAGGTTATACTGGACAAAATATGGATTCTTATTCGGGGCACATGTCTGAAATTATGACTTACTTAGAACAACATCTTAACAAAAGGCTACAAATTTCCATCTAATAATATAGAGTAGGTGATTCTGGGTAACTGTATCTATGGGGAGGAATATGATGGATATGAGGGTACTATTGTACTGTTATAAAAAGGAGAATTTCAATGTTCTTTCTGCCTGTCTGTCTGTCTGCCTGTCTGTCTCTCTCTCTCTCCTTTTTTTCTTTTTTTTGTAGGTTGTGTGGCCTGAACTCTGGGCCCGGGTGCTGTCCCTCAGCTCCTCAGCTCAAGGCTAGTGCTCTACTACTTGAGCTATAGCACCACTTCTGGCTTTTTTTGCTTATGTGATGCTGAGGAATCAAATCCAGGGCACTCTACCACTGAACCACTTTCCAAGCCCTCTCTCTCTCTCTCTCTCTCTCTTGCTATCTCTCTCTCGCTCGCTCTCTCTTTAAATGCTAACGACAGCAGGGTTACAGTTACATAAATCAGGCAAAGAGTTAATTTCCTTTTGGGCAGTATCACGCATGCCCTTGCTGTCTTTCATTTTTTCTCTTCTAACTTACCCACAAGTTGTACTGTTCATTTTCAACATAGATGAAAATTGTTTGTTTTATATCAGATGATATGCTTCTGTTTTTCTTTCCTTCTCTGAAGTTTGAGGATAAAATTATCTGACTTTAATGAAAGACACAAGTCTAAAATCAAGTATAAGTTTTTGAGTTCATTGGAGATCTAAAGTAATTTATAGAGATTAAAAAAATTGGGCAATGTAAATGGTAGCTTTACTTACTTATTTGCTTGGTACTAGTGAATAGTCTGTGGCTAGACTGAATCCTATACCTGCTACTTTTTTTTCCTCACCCATACACACTATTGGATCAGTAATAGTCTATGAGATGTTTCTTCAAAAGAAATACTTTTAAAATAAGTTTTGCATACATTAAAGAATATAAAATCACATTGCAAATTCTTGCATTCTTTAGGTAGCTTCCACCTCCTTTTCTCTTGCATTTGGCTGAATCCATGTAAACACTCTATATTATATATCTGAGATCACTGCTTCAGAAGAATGGCTACATCACTGGACAATTGCTATATCACTGTACCAATTGAAACCATTATAAATACTTTATGCTGTCTTTTCCCCATTGATTAAATGTAAGTCATGGGGAGAAGTCTTTTGTAAGAAATAGAGCTTATCTTACCTTCGCTGTTCTGCACTAGTGAGCCAAGCATTACAGCTGCCCATGTTGTCAAAGTGCCATAAGAGAATTTAGAAGAAGAGGAGCCAATAATGTAGTCAGTCTCTGACATTTAAATAGATGTTTTTGCTGTTCTGTCAAAATTAATCATTAACTTTAGCCTTAAAAGTATATATTTCAATAGTAGAAGAAAAAATGTTCCCACCATCAGCGCAGCGCTAAAGCAACCCTGTGGTTTTATAAATATATATCTCAGACTTAGAGAAAAGATGAATCCCACAGGACATCTCTCCTCTCCATCCATTGATGATGTCAGTAAGAGTCTGATTAGCTGCTTACATTGGAAATTATAGTGGGTCAGTAAGATTAATAAAAGCCTTCTTTATATAGACATGTCCCCATTGCCTCTGTGCTTTCCCGGGAATTTGGTTTGTTTTCTGACCTCAAAAAGTAATGCATAAAGGAAGACTATACATCAAAAGAAGTTGAGATTGATAGTTCATCTACTGATGTTTTTGATATTGGTATTTATAAGAGAGAAAAAGGTTAATGGCAAGGAACTTAACTTACTTTTGAATGGCTATGTACATAGGGTCTAGTTACTAACCTCAGTGAACTTGATGAGCATAAACTTGGTTTAGATGAAAAACATTTTGGTAGAACTGGTTGGACTGTAATTTTTCCTAAGTGGCAGAGTTCCATAAATTTCTCATTTTGTAATATTGAGTCATTCTCTGTTAAGGCACAGAAAAGGTATGAAACTGAATTAGGTTTCCTGACTCATCCATCATAGTGTTTTAGTGCTAGAGAAAGCCCTTGAGACCTAGCCCCGTGTTTCAAATTGTGTTCTGTGTCACTTCTGGAATCCCTGGAGTGAGCTTTCCAGTCAGTGCAGAGGGGGAAGGAGCACTCGAGTTTCTTATCCTTTTTACTTTTTGTCATATCATTTCATTTCTATGAATAGAAATAAAGACTTTGTTGGGTGGGGGGAAAGGTTTGCCAATCACTAATCTATGACTGCCACTTCCATTCTACAGTTGAGCAAGTTAAGTTCCAACGGATAAACTTTAATGAGTAAAAACCTGTGACTAATTCACAATAGAAATATTTCTAAAGCTAAAGGATAACTCCCAAGCCCTGATTTCAAGTCACAGTATCGGCACGTAAACAAAAAGGAAGACATTAAAAAATTCCTGGGCTGGGAATATGGCTCAGTGGTAGAGCGCTTGCCTTGCATGCATGAAGCCCTGGGTTGGATTCCTCAGCACCACATAGCAAAAAGAAAAAAGCCGGAAGTGGCACTGTGGCTCAAGTGGTAGAGCTCTAGCCTTGAGCTGAAGAGCTGAGGGACAGCGCCCAGGCCCAGAGTTCAGGGCCCACGACCAGACCCCCCCCCCCCAGAAAAATAAATAAATAAATAAAAATTCCTTATCACCCAATGCTGGGATAGTGGATCAGAAATCTATCTCTGAAGCTGAGGAGGAAAGGACAGGAGGAAATCTTGAGAGTAAGTGCTTCTCTCTTGGTTTTGAAGCCATGCTATTGCAATCAGTAGCAATGTCTATGTGCTCAGAACTATAAATTAGGATTTTTAAAATAAATTCCTCATAATGCACAACAAAGAGGTGGAAAAATGAGCATGGGATTCTTTATCTCATAGAGACCATCTCTATTATTTTATGATAATAAAAGTGAGTGTGCAAATGTGTTATCAAAGCAAACAATGAGTTTTACCATGGAAAAATGTTCCAAATTTGCTGCAACTTTCTCAGAGAGCAAATGAATTTCAGCAGATAAAATTCTGTTATATTTTATATATTTATATATTTTTTGTAATTATATATTACATATTTATGTATATTCTGTTATATTTTCCACCTATACTTAATACAGATGCCAGAGTAAGTGACAACATTTCAAAGCAGCTAGTAATATCAAGAATTATTAGAGAATGTTGGTATAATGGTCGTTCATGTCTAACAGCCTTTACTTGTATGACAGTTGTTACTACTGAAATAGAGTCACTAAGTTTAATCTCTTACAACTGGTGCCAGGAAGTCATGAAGAAGAGTCCTCATGCATGTTTGTCTACCATGGGAGCTGCTCAAAGACTTCCTCAAAACTACAGCAGCTATCTCCATCAATGATATATTACTCATACTCGTAATAAGCTCCATCAATGATATATTACTCATACTCGTAATAAGCCATATACTCCATGATCTTTCAGTTAAAACTGATTATTATGGACATTTCTCTAACATATGCATTTCAGGTTGCATTCCTTTGTGAGTCCTAAATAATAAGCTCCTCATTTTGAAGAGCTTAATTTAAGTGGATGCATGTTTGTCCGAGTATAAATAGAGATTATAATAAAACTTTTTCCTAGAGTTATCATGATAAATAAATAAGGTTATAAACGAAAAATGTAAGAGACTCCTTGACATATAGGACATTTCCAATGATTATTTCTTATGATAATTGACAATTAAAAACTTAGATTTGTAACATTTTAAAAGCTGCCAAATGAAGAAATTTTAATGAGTATTGAACTCATTTGTTATAATACAAAAATTCCACAATTTCCAATTAGTTTACAGAGAAAAATAATGAGTGACATAAGGACATATGGAAATTTACAAATAGCCTTTGCATAAAGTGTTGGCTATGTTTTTAAAATGGATGTAATTAAATAGAAAGTGAAAACATGGATTCATTATTCTATATTTAGCTATACATTCCTGCAAGGTGGATTTTTAAGTTCTGACAGACAGCAAAACAAATGATTAAATAAACTGAATCAAGAACTATTATATCATAGTGTTAAAAAGTATTGTGAAAACCAGTTTAGCAAATTCAGTCACTTAGATATAGGTACTTACTATCACTTACTATCACTTAGATATAGTTAATAGAGCCAGGCATAGGTGGATCACACCTATAATCCTAGTTATTCAGGAGGCTGAGGCCTGAGGAATTTAGTTTGAAGCAAGAGCAGGTAAGAAAGTCCATGAAACTCTTATCCTCAATAAACTACTACAAACACAAACAAACTGAAGTAGAGCTATTGGCTCAAGTGGTAGACTGCTAGTCTTGGGCAAAAAAGGAGCCCAAGGATAGCACCCAGTCCCTGATTTAATGCCTCAGGTCCAACACGAATATATATATACATATATATATATATATATATACACACACACATATATATACAAAATATCTGTTTACATATATACATAGTTATATATGTATACATAGATATGCATGTATCATACAAACATATATACATTTATACACACACATACACATAATTAACAGCTTTCTCAGTAGGGATCAAAATATTTTGTACTATTAACAGAAATTAATAAATGATTTAAAATGTTATTTACTTTGTGTAGGTATTGCCAGATACCAATTTCTCATTTTTGTAATCCTATTTATTTAAAAGGCTGAAATGTGGAGAACCATGGTTCTAATATAGCCCAGGAAGAAAATTCCTTGAGATTT